GTAACTGTGTGACCGTAAACAAAGATAGCGCATGGCATCGCGTATGCTGAGTGTGTCGAATACGCCGAGGGCAGAGCTTTGCTTGGCTTTATACTGACTAGCTCGTTCGTGCTGGTTGTTACACGTAAAGTCGTCGGGTAATTCCATTTGCGCCCTCGGGCGATCGTTCCTGTCGAGCAAATTGTATGATTTACCACTTCTGTGCAAACCTCTATAGCGTCTGTCTTGTAATAAAAGCGTTCGACTTCGTTGTTGATATTGTCGACGATCTCAACGTCGCCGCCTCTTGGAGCCCGGGTGATATAAATAGTGAACATAAAATATAATGCCAGGATATCTGCTAAGAAGGTCTGGAAGAAATAAGCTTGGCGCAGGCGTTAGACAGAGTCTAGGAGCCGACGAAACAGAGAGCACGAACACGCCTCAGTTGGGACTAAGCGACAAAACCCAGACACCCAGCGACTCGTGAATGTCAACAGGCCGTGTACTGGTCAGTATAATTGGTGTTTTACTTCGTTAGAGTTGACTGTTGCTTTATGAATCTTTAGATATATGCATGTACGCACGTGTTTGTTGGACCGCGCTAATGGTTCTATTAGCCGCATGTGTTTTTTGCTTGCGGGTTTATCACTACGAGCTGAAAAGCAAACTCACAGAGAAAAATATAGCGTCAGATATTTCATCCTGTTTAGCGAGATTCGCTCTTGAGCTAAATGTACGTTGTCCTGATCGGTACTGTTGCTTCCTTCGTTAAACCTATTCGTAAACATAGATTTCCGAACGGTCGCTCCTTCTGCAACCTAGCTGATCGCCGATATCGGATTACGTGTAGTGCAACAACGACAACTACATCTTTTCTAGTGTGATTATTAATCGTAGTCACTACCCGGCGACCTTGACATGATTCCAAGCTCGAAACTTCTCTCCACCGACGCTTTTCGGCAACCACCGGTCAATCTGTCGCTTGACGCTGTTGGTGACATCAGCCAAACGAAGGTTAGAGCCACCAATCCCGCCTTGTGTTTCATCGCGGAGCGACGTTACTGCTAATCATTGCCGTAGGCCAAGAGGCAGTCAGCGACGCCGACACACGCACGCGGACATCGAATAGGATATTTAGGCACAAGGTGAAACAGGACCACTGTACAACAAGACAAAGACAGCCAGACGGAATCCAAATGTCGCTATCTTAAAACCATTCGTTATTTACGGAGAGAAAGTGAATAAAAAAGAGCACGATCTGGTGAGAATGAAACACTGTCGAGAGCCTGTACAGATAATGACGCACGACGCGACGGCATGGTGATGGTCCGGGTGGCGGATTGCCTTTCGAGCATATGGATGCTCCCTTTCTTAGGTCTCTATAATTTCTGCTTGTTTAATTCCCATATAGACAAACGTGACGCAACATATGAATTGACGCATATATATGCGACCACATAGATAGATTTCCTGATGTACGCTTCCTTTCAATTATATATTTGTCCCTATCTCTTGTTCTGTGCTGTTCCGCCAGGTAAACCCTAATGGCCTGTGGATAAACGACCCGATAATACGATAGGGAAGAAGGCGGTTAGACGCGGTAAGGCGCAGCTTCACTAAGCTGAAGTCTTTTTTTTGCTTTGCTTTATAAACATTTTTGCAGAATATTTATCATCAGGTTTCATTTGTTCTTGCTTTCCTAAAGAGGCTCTTAACGTTAGCATCAATAATGCACTCGGCCGTCTCTTTCAGTTGCCTAATTTCCGATGGCAAAAGCAATAGTCTACTAAGTGATCAGCCAGTTTTCCTCGGTAAACAGGATCGTGTAGATGCAGCACATGGGCTTTTAGAGGTTGTTCTAGCTGATGTGCGTGTTGACAAAATGTGTGGAATTCGTAACTAGAAAAGCATACGACAATATGTAGATGCCAGCTTCAAACCCTGAGGGGTAGCGTACCTCTCGAGGGTTTTCAGCTGCATCTTGCTAGAAGAAAGCTTAAATTCAGAATTTGTTCTACTTATTCCAGCTACGGTACAGATCCCGCAGCAGGTTTTACGAAGGTGGAGGCTGGCCATTTATATTTGAAGAGCATTACAGATGCCATCAGAGTGGCGACTTGATCTGATGTAAGATCTGATAGCAGCTCAAAACTCACCCTATTATTATTATTATTACTATCATTAAAAATGTAAATAAATATTCATAGTAATGCATTTCAGTATCCTTGGAGAACAAGAACAGGGATCGGCCAAACATTTAAACTGTAAAGGAACGTTTGGGAGTCAAAATTATTCAATTACGAACACGATACCTTTAATTGGCTGCTGAAGATAGTCTTCGTGGAACTGAAACTGTTACTAACGAGCATCAGTAGTATAGTTTCTATTAAACTATCAACTGACTCTAAAGAAGATAAATTTTCGATAAGACATCGTTGTATAATAGCATTTGTATTGTCGTATACCTATAGGATTAGTCTGATCGACTCGTAAAGGAAGGATCATGGCATCGTTCGCAAGAACTCCGGGTCGCAAGTTAGAACACCCGTACGTCATTGAAGTAATCAGAGTAACTAATGCCATTATCATTAGTAGTAGAATCTATCAGAGGTTTGAGTGTTTTCCAGTTTAAGTTCCGTTAAGGGTTAGGTCGGAGCAAAACGGAGTCACGAGTCAATGGGTGAGTTATACAGAAATGGCTTTATAATACTCTGTTTCGCTAAGCGGTTATTTAGGCGGCATCTCCATAGATATGTGCAACCAATCAAACACCAAGCTAATACATTACATAAACTAGTAAGTAAATTATAATTTCAACTAGTACTTCCATGTCAAGTACATTGATCAAGGGGATCTGCAGAGCTGAAACGTGAGCCATTACGATGTCTTCATATGGACAGCTCTTCTGCCCTATTGGATGAAGCCACCTTCACACGTTTTGTTTGCAAGTGCTACCCTTTCACACTTGTTGGAATCGTGTTCGGTGAGTGTTTTGGTATCGCAAGCGCGTTTGCCTCTTTATTGCAAGCAATAAGAGCCATAAAGATGGCTTTCAGCTTCAATTCCTCGCCCAGAAAGCAGACGAATACAGTCAGTTGTCTAATGTAATCAATGAAACCGTTATAATTCGCTTCATTAGGAAACATCGATCTCGTATTGTCAGATTCAATCGCAGCATAACAACCGATTTATCTCAGTTTATAGATTCAATTCTTGCATAGAGTTTTAGCCAAGGTTTCAAACATCATGAAAGCTTTACGATAATCTAAAACCGATACCGACAACAAATCAGTGAATGTAGAAATGGCAGTAGCTCTTCTATAAGGGTGTGAGAAATAGTTCTTGGGTTCATAGCATTGCATATAAACTTTAAGTGGTAGAAGAACAAACCGTCAATTTCGCCAAAACCGACAGATATTTAATAACCAGACTATGCAGAGCTAAGCAGCTAAGTCTACCAGTATAATTCGTGATTGTTCTCAAAAATACGTATGTCCTTATAATCATCGCAAAATATTATTATGATATTTGCTTAAACTAGAAATAGTAATTTGGTTCAAGTTACTAGCCCCAACAGCAAAACGATAATGGCCATTTAAACAGATAAAAATATTAACAATAATAATGGTATTATTATTATTATTTACCTCCAGCTCTCCTTTGTGGCGCTCCGATATTGTGTCTTTGCGTGCAATATCAATTTCCCCAAAACTTAAATCCGTTTACTTTGAACTTATTCGAGGACTCGAATCATACGCTTGAACTCGATCTTGACAACCGAAGTGCACTGTCTTGGCCCGTACCAACTGAACTACTTTTGGTTCCTGGGCAGGAATTCTAACAAGTGGTCTTCGCGTCCTTTTATTGGAACTGAATTAATACCACTAAACAAGTTCTGCAGAAATTAATGATATTCTGATTATGCCAGATCTGGGCTATACAGCGGCTATACATTAAACATTTCCGTTCAAGCTCTCAGAATTTTCTTTTGAATAGCTAGAAATAAGATCGTCTAACGTTGTCGTGGAAGACGACGCCTTTTTCGTTTACTAGTTCTGGTCGATTTTTCTTTCAAGGACTTGTTGTATTATTAGGTCATAACAGTAGAGGTTTGAACCAATCATTTTGCTATACCGCAGCAAGATATAAGGCACGATTCCTTTCCCATCTTACCAACCGCATGGCGTCACCTTCCTCGGCGTCAGTTTGGGCTCTTTGTGGAACATAGTATTTTTATTTTCTTTGTTATCCCCATAATATGATTATTGTATCGTTCGTTTTTTGTTGTCAGCCGTAAGCAAGGACTCATTTTGTCGGCGTTTTTGCCAATGGAAAGACAATCGAGTAAATTTGTGCGGCACCCAGTTATAAATTTCAATAAAATTATAAATTTATTAATAAAGAATTAGCCTTGTTTGAATGGTACTGAGCTGTTTAATGATAGACGTAGATGCATTTTTAAGCGCATGCATAGAATTTGTGACTTTACTGTCATAATACGGGGAATTTTCGCAAACATTCTACTTATTTCCCAAGTGGTCTCTTTTTAGTCTAAATAAATGGATTCCAACGACTTTAGAGTCATGCACCTCAATGCAACTAGGGGCATTCAGGTCTCAATACCTTCAAACGACATCAATGTCGATTTAATGGGATTCATATTATCCAGTATAGATGTGATGTAGAAAAACAGCCCATACATTTTCGAGTCGCATATATATATATATATATGTGTATGTGGTAACGGCATTCGTTTTCGCGGAGTATGGTGCACGTTTATAGAGCAACGTGCCCGTACCTAATTTTTGTTATGGAGTACGTATATACGAGTATACGTGCACGTAAGAGACAGCCATCCGAGACTAAGCGTAATAGGCGGCAAGTATGCGCTCGTCGAAACGTGTAATCTCATTGAACATGAAAACATGTCCTCGTGATAGCATGGTGGGTAACATATTCTCCTGCTAATATTAGGGATACGTTATGGTGCAGGTTCGTTTCGTTTCGAGGTGGGAATCAGCTGTGTGGTAGGACGCATAATGGCGATATGGGACGTAAAACATAAAGAGTTTTTTTAAAAATATGTCCATACGAGAGAGAACGCCTAGTGTGGTGTGTGCTTGAGTAAGTGAACGCATTTTTAGAAAATTGCATAACCCATTTATATTTTTTTTCTTGTTCCTTGCGTACACGTCTGCTCTGTGAGGGCCCTAGCCATTACCCTCGCCTACATGAAATTCTTCCGCTTTAGCTAACGCTTATTCTTTGATTACCTAGATTTGCTTTTCGCATGAGCCGTATGTGCTATATATGCATCGACAGTTGAGTAGATGTTTTTCATCTTTTTTTTTTTTATTGAATAAATTTACAGAGTGAATGCTTCAACCAGAAGAAGTCTCTTAATTAATGTATGCGTGTCTGTACTTGAGTATTCCTCTGACGGCCACTGGCGCTGGGCATATAACGAAGGTTCGAAACCGCACATGCACATTGATAGCCTATCTTGCTCACTGATTGTTTTCTAGCTACTTCATTCCGTCCGAACTCCTGATCCATTCTATCCGATTCATAGTCATGACGTAAAGGGGCAATGCGGCAACTGCCCGAAGAAGCATGGTGCCTTTCTGTACGGAAGTATTTGTCAAGCTGAGTCCCCAGCAGGCAGGTGTTACGAAAATACCAATCGTACAAACGACACGACTACACTGTAACTGCGAGAAAAACAAACAGCGAAAGCAAGCAATCGACAAGAACAAAAGCCTGCTGGAGAACAAGATCTTTCCCGAGATTTTTCTTTCCATACTGGTACACCGTATCGTTCCTTCCCCGTACTGTCACTATGACGCTATTTCTGCTACTCTTGACCCTTTCAACGGCGTACTTAGTCTAGCAGGCGCCTAATAGACATTTGTCTCTTTCATCTATCCCTTACTCAAAAAAAGAGAAATCTGCAAAAAGGTCAAAAAGCCTCATCGTTTACACAATGGCTATGAAATTGGTTTAGGTTCCCGTTTCTGTCCATCGACCATCATTTTCTGAGTGTGCAGTTGTATGAGGTCTTTTTTCTTGTGCATTTGCTAGCAGTCACTGGCATCAATGGGTAAGTCTCATGTTTTCTATTTCCTTTATTAGTTTTTAAACTATATCTCCTCACATATCTGCATATACATGCACCCTCTATACTAGCTGCACAAAAAAAGAAGTCACGGGTGCACTTGTGCATCTCATTATTACCCATCATTTGGGTTTGCTGGCTATTATACTATTCAATTTTTGACTACAAATTTTCTACTGCTTAGATCTTCAGCAAACTTTATTTTATGATAGTCGCGCCACGAGCTGACAGATAGGGTATCATGATTGACGTAAACGTAATAGGAGGGAAAAGCACCAGCGGAGTTCATTATTGGGATCATAGAGCCTTCAGAGGCATTGGTTTTAATAGGAACGACGGTCTTTATTTAGCTTTGAAAAAATTGTGCTTTTTCTGCGCCTGTACGTTTAGTCTGTTTAAGTCGTCTCTATTGAGTTTTTATATTGCCTAATGCTACCTGCCAATGTGATCACGGGCTTTAGGTATAGTTCTTACACGTATAGTGCGATACCTAATACTGGGCATGTACGGACAAAATCTATGGGAATGTTGATGGTTTCTTTCTTCTAAAGCTAGCACGGGTTAGTGCCAACAGGCTGTAATACTGTTACCTGTAGTTGATGATAACGATTGTAATAGAACTGACAGCAGTTAAAATAGTGATAGTAATATAAAGACTACCCCAACCTTGAGCTGAAAATAGATAGAGTTGCATGTTGCACGGGTTCAGTATCTTTGTTCTTTCTGTCTGCTGTACTATTTTATCTCTCTGGTATGTTTTTAGGGTTTAATTCGACCAGCTAAACTCGCCTGCTGCCTTTTCCTCTCCTTCCTAAACATATCTGAATCGAGTCTCTTTTCTGGCTGACTAGTTCCTACTTCGAGTGGCGGTTGTCTGGGTTATTTGGTTACAAAGTTGCACTGCGTTCCTTTTCTCTTCACCGTTTTCTTCTAGGTGACACGCAGTTATAAGAAGCCAGCCGTCGTTCAAAGGCCCTAAATCCTGTCAGACAAAAAAGACTCTGACAGGACCTTCAACAGGACAGTTTATAAATGTTTAAGTGACATTGATCGCTAACAACGGTACTACCACTCCTTGCCCCCTTTTTACCAATCGCCATACAGATTCATTGTGTCGACACTGATGAAGGAAATTGAAAAGGAAAATGATGCTGTGGGAACATGCAAAGATCGAAATAAAAGATGGGCAGTTTTGAAAATGCTGCGAAGTACCCCTCTGCTTGTTTTTTTCTTCTTAATGGCGACTCCATGTAAAAGCTACAAAGCACACATAGTATTGGGCAAAGGACGTCACGTAAGCAGATAGGGATAAAATATAAAGTTGGAAGAACTGGCGCTAGGTGTATCAGTTAGGGGAGTAAAGATAAAAAAAAATGAAACCTTTAGTGGTAAGGGATATTAAGCGAAGAAACAGCGGTGACTTTACATAGCCGGAAGAATTTGCTACAGCACGATCTTACAGACGGGTTTGTTGAATCCCACAAGAGTCACGTTTAGACAGAAACAGAACTCATAAGTTAATTGTAAAGAGGTTTTCTTTCTAAACATAGACACGTTTAGCAAAGATCTGTTCCTATTGAAAGATTCTGAGGATTTCAAATTAAGCTAATTCACAATATCCTAACATGTACGTCTCCGGAGGCCAGAACGTCTATAATATATATATATATATATAGCTTTTAACCACATTCCAAGGGGTACAGGTGCAATATTTAAATAATCAGAACATATTACACGCAAAATTAATGTCCAATCTCCTGCCCATCTTATACTAATACTTTGTCTCCATGTTGTGTTCTATCTAATGCCCACATTACAAGCTAATGAAGCCGGTAACCGAACATAACGAAGGACTGAATGCATGACGCTTTGATACGGACGAGTTGTAGCGACGAATGGAGAGAGCAGGTTAATGCGTCCGTGTCTTTCTGTAATACCCTACATCCACGTTATGGAACCATGACATCATAGCTAAAAACGGCTTAATTTTGCTTCGATAAAAAAACGTCGGAAAAAACAACCAGATAAATATTTTGGGAACAACTAGCGATCCAGCAGAAAAAAACGGGTATTGCCAAACTTTTTCTTCGGATGCATGAGAAGAACACTAACGAAAGTGACGATGGGAATGCAGAAAAGAGGAATTTCGTTTTGATTATGAGAACGTGAACCAGCCAAGGTGGTACCTTCGTATGAAAAGTGGCAAATGAGGTCCATAGCATCTCAGCTGCTGCTACTGTTACTGATGGAAGATGAAAAGAGAAAGATGAACGCAGTGTTTAGTCTGGTATTGATGGCAGCAGCACTGACTAAAATGACAAAGGAAAACGACCAAGGCGCAGTTATGCCCCTTCCCCCGTTTCTCCCTTTCTAAACCTCTCGCTCGCAACAGTTCGTTGTTTTCCGGGCCGTCGAAGCACCTAAAAGCCGCTTCAGGCTGTCGCTTAGCCTTCGACTGGCACCTTAAAACGACAAGAACGGTAGCAGAAGCGGCAGCAACGACGACTATGGTGACGAGGCGCTTGTTGGCCCATTTAGGCCGATAGCTCCATTGCCGGCGGCACAGCGGCTATCGGGGTTGCTCCTAGCAGAGCATTCCTTGGAGCGATCTGAGCTCGAAGTCGCTGTTTTCTCACGAAAAAAAGTCGCAAGAAGAACAGAGGAAATGGAAAAAGGAAGAACACCCAAATACCTAAAAGCAAGCGACCATGTGATGCAGGAAGAGCGAGGAAGGAGACCGTAGGGATTTTCCAAACTTCTCTTCTTTTTTGGCTCGAGCCGGTGTACGCGTCCCTCTAAAGACGTCGGTCGGTCGGTCAGCCGGTCGACTCGCCCTCCCGCCGCTTTTCGAAGGTGTAAGAAACTGGTAGCAAAAGCAAAGAGGAGGAAGAGGAACGGACGATGAATAAGCATAAAAAGAGATGTAAGAAAAAGGACGAAGGTAGAATAAAGAAGAAAGATGAGCAGCTTCTGTCCTGCTTTTCTGGGCTTTGTTCTGCTGCTACCGCTGCTTTTCTATCGCGCATCGTCGTACCCACTCCGCCGCCTGCAACGAAAATGGCAATGACGGCCGGGGAAGCCGAGACAGCCAAAGCTATGCAAAGTACGGTTATACAGCTGGGTGAAAGCTGGTATGACGGCGTGCATGAGATCGCAGCTTCGATCTTAGCCGGATTTGTATGCTGGACGAGCGATATGCACAGCATGCTGCGATCGTATGCAACTGGATTTCAATCGGGGACCATAATGTTCAACAATACATAACGTCACGGCTGTCAAACATTCTAAGTGACGGTGCCTTGGCTGCTGTCATGGGTGATGCCCAGCCCTCATGCTTGCCCGAAAGAGCCTTAAGAAGCTCTCCGCAGCGGTGCAGTGCCTTCGTAGCTGTCAACTCTGCCCTACCATTATCCCAGAGCATTTTAGAATATCACCAAAATGTCCATGAAAGCTGCCAGGGGGCGCCGAAAGCAAGAGCAAGCAGGAAATCGCAATCGAACAGGAAGTGACTGGCTGAACGATGAACGGGCCCAATGGCGCCGCAAGAGGATGCCGCTTCTCTCGAGTGGCTTGTATCTATCTGTTATTCTTTGCTTCGGGCGTGTTAGCTTGCCCTGTTTAGCTTTGTCTCTTCCTCGTTGCAGCGTGGACAAATAATGTATGTGGGACAAAATACCCAGTCAGTCAAATACACAAACGCATACGGCTACACTATACGCTCGGCACACTATGCATTGAAATTGGCGATCACCAAAGCGGTTTGGTCGTGTTGCCGCTCGACACCTTGAACGCGAATATTGCCTGAGTAAGACGTTAACTTTGACCATATTGTTGTTACCATATATAGCATACAATATCAATATAGCGCTATAGACACTTGACATGTTTACATAGTCAGACGTACACACAACGCAGCTATATATGTAACGTGCGCACGGGTAGAATGCGTATACTCTCCATAATGATCGGATACAATATTTGAAGTCTGACTGATGTAGTAATAGATTTAACCTAATAGTAAACCAAATAGGCAGTTTTAAATTGCGTCTGTGTGCTATCGAACTTGCTTCATATATTCTGGAACGGAGTTAATCTATTTTTCCATAAAAACAAATTGTCTGTCTTCTTATAGGTGTTTAGCAATTTTTAACCGGCACGATCGCCTTCCAATATCTAAGTTAGAATGCAAACGTATATGATAATAGCCTTACTAGACCAGTTTGCCTTAATTTTCCATAATTAACTCTTATGTATATTCGTACGCTTATTAGTATAGTTTCTTATGTAGTCGGATCAAGGTAGAGGTGTGGTCGAACGCCGATGAAGTATCGACTGGCCACATGTCACAGATGCTTCTACGAATGTTCGATTCTGCTCCATAATGCTACCATTGTAGCTGCTATCGCTATGTCGAGGTAAAATATTGTGTTTCTTGTTAGTTACCCATCGGCCATGCGACTAGAAGAGGAATTGGACAACAGGTGATGCTTTAGCAAAGTCCCTTATACGTCAACGTTATATGTGTTATTCCGCGCATCAATGAAGGCCCACATTGTACGCTCTAGCGAAACCTACCACGGCCCAATGTTCCATTACCGTTCCTACAGCTAGCACTCTTTCACCATTGCCGAAACACTGAGACCCACGTGGTGAAGTGGAGCCACTGTTAAAAGATTTAACGATATTTAGTCTTTTTCGTGAGAAACACGCTTGCCAAGTTTGATTCTCTCGTTTTTGTCGACCCGGTTTTATGTGAGCCCAATTAAAGGCGTCGTGCAGCATTTTTATTCACTTGTTATAGTATATGCCAGGGATCGTACCATCGTCTGATTTCATCGCTCATTTCCTACTTCGAGATGTATTTCTTGCATTTTTTCCACGTTAACATCAAATCATTGTATGTTTTTCCGTTCTTACCATCGTTGTCGTAGTCCATGGTGTGTGGTTTGCAATATTACGTTCTCTCTTGTTCAGCGTTTCATCACCGTTTTTAACAGATTGACTGGATTTGCTTACAACTGCGTGTTAGGACATGCGATTCATGGGTATCGACGCATACAATGGGATATCATGTTGTTCTCTTTCCCTCTCTCACGTTCCTTTTTGCCCTTTCATAGTTCATAAAGCCGGCGATCCGCTAGGCACACGAAACGAGCCTCGTCTAACGGGGGGGCTTTGTCGCTCGTAGAGTAAATGGTGCGCTTCAAGGCTAACAGTTAAGGGCAATATCTGAAAAAGGGTATTAAAGATCATAGTCTTACGCTAGGCCATAACTTGCGATGGCAAATAATACAGTGGCTTTGTGACACCGCGTTTTTTTGCACTTGCCGCCAGCTCACGAACGGTTTTACTCATACCCTAAAAAGCAAAGGATCACCAAAAGATCACGTTATCAAGCTCGATCACTTTTGTCCTTTTTCTTGTTTTCCACTTAGTATTTCCCTTTTCATCCCACATTCCACACCTTTCCGTCCCGTTGTCCGTCTTTTATCTATTACATTCCTCTACTCGATACATTCCAGACGCTTTCTACTCCTTAAGCTGAGTTCGCCTTCCCCAAAGACTTTTTCGCCAAAACAGACCGCATTATCGCACATACGTGGCCGTATAGCGCTATATATATATATATATATATACATATGTATATATAGTTGCTGCTGCCGCCGTCGCCGATTGACGAATGACTGTAGATACTTGTGGGCCTTTCACGGTTGCCGGCGGAGATTCAGTCCAGCCTTGTCTTTTTTATTTCGTTTTCTACCCTATCACAAAGGCACACTTTCTCTATCTTTCCTAGCACCAGCATCATTTAACGATAACCGTTGTTGAGTCCATGTCTCATTATTTCTCTTGCCACTAGAATGTACAACTATACTGCTTCTAACATTGTTAGTGTGCCTTCGAGAAGCGCCATTTAATAACCAGCAACCTTTGAATCACTTCACTTGTAGCGTCCGGTATTACTGCCACTTCTGACAAAGGCTGAAGACAACTGTGTTATCTTTATCCCTCTTTGCGTCCGTTCCGTGCGCATTAGTTTCCCATACACCTATTGTACACTATTCAGCTTTGCGCACGCACAGCTTTCATTTGTGAGTGTGTTCCACTGCCTTAAAGGTCTTTGTTCGCACAGTGAAGGCAAGAGGTGCGGACCTTATACAACCGTCGCGATTTGTTCTGATGCCAGTACTTTTCCTTCTTTTTCTTTTGACGAATAAATAAATACTCGTGTCATAGAATCGTTGGCGTCGAGCACCGTTTTTCATCATGACGATGTTTGAGCATCATACTCGACTATCACCTACAGCTTCTGGTGCGCCGCGGTAATGGCAAGTGCAGTGGAGCGAAGGCCCGGGGACTTTTCCTTACTTTAACCGCAAACCTGTGCGCTCTGAGTGAAATGGTAGGTTGTGCTTCGTGCAATAACGGAAGCGGCAAGGCCATCCTACACTCATGGTAGTAACCATCCACCCTACTTCCGCTCACCTTTCGGAGGCTTTTATATTTGACAAGAAAAGAAATGGAATCTTCATGGAAGTCGAGAAGGTGAGCATTTCAGCAGCTCATGCATGAAGCAAAGGTTAACAATAAGCAGCAGGCACGTCTGCGCTGACTTTGACACTTCCCTGGGCTTTAGCAAAAGCATCTGTTTACCAAAATAGCCACCATTCCTCTGGACTGCTCATATAGATTTAGTAAGGCTCTCGTTATTCAGTCTGCCTGTTAGCGCTTAGCAGCATTATGTTATCATATACGCACGTGTGCATACGCACGCACCGCTCACTCGTATCTGTGCATCGATATCCTAAGATTATGTTGATCGTTAAAGTATCGGACAAAAGCGAAAAAAGTATGCGTTTCTTGTATGTAAACTGCGGGTCCGTTCCTCAAGCCAAACAGGTTTAGACATTCGTTTTTAAATCATGCCGAATAGGCCTGCACTAGCTGAGGTAATATATTAAAATTAAATAGAACTAACAAAACAATTCTTGGCCAAACTGAAATTTTTGTTATATTCGATAATTAACACACGAAAGTGATTTACTACTTTTATATTTTTTTGCTAATGTTTAATCAACAGCGATAGTTTATATTCGTACCTTATTTACTTTATTCTATGTTTCTCGATAATCATCTTCTCAATTTTGCCGGACGCAGCTTCGAAGCTAGAAAATAACTTACGGCAAACTTCGAAGGGGGCATAAAATACGAGCAGCCGAATTATCCCAAAGTAAACAGTCTGCTATCCTAAACTTGTAATATTTATAGAAACCAGTTATATTTTTGCAAGCCCGATACGATACGGCGCGTCGACTAACTGTTTCCCTTCAGGCGTTGATCATTCTGAGCCGTTTCTAACTGTAATCGAGTGAATATTCCATCCTGTCGCAAAAGGCCATACCAATAATGCTTGAGGGACCGTACAATGAGACGTACTCCGATTAGGTTCCAGCTCTGCTCTGCACTTTTATTACAAACATAAAGCGTCACAATGTTGAATTTTTCTGTTACTAGAAGACAACAGGTCGTGTCTTCAAACAGGCGAACATATTCTAGATAGGCCTCGCTTCACCAGGCGCTGTAATATTTGTGAGTATACAGAGTCATCAGAATTCTCAGGCTTCTAAGACGGAGAAACTTTGGGAGTTCAACATAATGGAGGAAGACTAAATATTGAATATGTGAGTTCATCTGTTAGCGGGAAACCGTGTGTTTACGCTAATCGATGCCTATAACCTGCTATAGACTTGCAGATAAAAATTGAGATGAACTTCAATAGATTGAAGCGTTCAAGGTATTATCGCGAGAGAGAACTGGCGTGAACGCTAGTGGATAAGGTTTTCACTTAAATAATTTCATAGTTGTTTTAAATTACGTTTTTATACTGTAATATGTTACGCCCATGAATCCAGTTTAAACAATATTTATTATATGACCATTTGCTTAGTGAATAGCTTATGGGCAATGTGTTTTTATCCTACGTCTGTATAGAGCAGAACGTCTATCTGCGATGCTGGCAGCAGCAGTTAAGGGTTTTATGTTTTATGCAAAAGGACAGCTCCAACGACCTATAAATAACTATTAATGGTTGTCGATACCGCTTTTGCATTGGATATTTCCGTATACAGCATATTACATCCAAGGATCTGTGAAAGTTATTTCTCGAAGTTTTATGGATAGGTTACCAATGATCTCGACGGAGTCAATCGGATGGAATATTAGTTTTTTTTTTAATTTTAACCTTACAGCGGTTTTGATTACGTTCCATTATAATTTTCCTACAATTTTTCCGAATTCGCTACAACTTTCTCAATTTTTTTGGAATAATCAAAAAAGGCCCTGCGGGGGCAATCTTGGTGCATAACATGTTTTAGCGTGGCCCTGTTTAATCCTACTGCAAAATGGTTTATTCAGTTTTCAAGATGATAAAAAGGCTGAGGCCGCGCAAACGGTTCTATAGACGAGTAGCCAATGGCGTAAGTTATTGCAGCTTTTGTTATCTTTTTGCATCTTTCGAGCAGAATCATTGAGCAGGGTCACGGTAGAAGTGTTCTTTTCAGCTGTTTTTCAGCAGTTTTCCTGAAGGTGTCAATCCATCTGACGAGAAACCTTTAAACCCCAATACAAAAAAGTTTGGATCAACAGTGATTTGAGAATATGGTCACATTTGTCAGTTATTTTAGATTGCTCAAGATATTGGTCATGTCCATATATATAGACACTATGGTTCTGTCTAAAACCAACATCGGTGCAAAGATTTTCTTCTGCTACTGTCACATCGAACAAGTGTTCCCGAGTTGATCTTTGTTTGTAATGTGGGCACTGAAGAACCAGATTTGGTTTAGTATATTCGGCTTACCACTTCCATACGATTACTGCTATAGAGACAAGCAAAAAGCAGATTACCTTTTGTACGGCAATTATCAATACATAGAACGGAGTGTTTCGACGAACACTTCAACGCAGATAAAAAATTTCTTGAATAGCAGTACACGAGGCAGCTGCTTTTTCTGTCGAGGAAGAGGTTAAATATATAGTCGAATTTCTTCTTCAGGGGACCGTTCTATCTAAACTACGCTTTAAAACTGTAGGCTTTACTATTTGCAACTAGCTTCATGGATGGAGATTGTATCATTCACCTTAATATCTCAGATGACCTGCAGAGGAACAGCCTGGATCTACGCCGATGCCCGTTATAGGCTAGTATATTGTGGCCGCTGCTTGCGCTGTCCCTAAAAGTTCCCTACTAGTTATGTGAAGCACCTCGGTGTTAGTGAATCAACGACCTCAGAGAATAGAGCTGAAACACTCTTCACCAATATGCCAGCTCTTATTTCGCGGCATCGTACCGCATCAAGCGTTTAAGTAGACGCAGTCTGGAATATCTGTACAAGCTGTATTCCGCTAGTAGCAAGTGTTAGCGAAACTCTTTCCGCATGTAGGAATTCCTTCATTTTGGTGAATTTAGAATTCAACTTTCCTCTTCGTCAACGAGCGAACTCTCAAGACCGTGCTTAAGCTCTAGTAGCCTTCTTCTATTAGTTCCTTAACGGCAAGTACCACACTGGTCTCTGGCAGCCGGGCAGCGCTGGCCTAGAATCATCATATGATAGACGAGACCAACAGCTGCACGAGTAGCGGTAGCTGCTGCTGCTGCGTAGCCAAAGCTCACTTTATAAGTGCGCCCTTGCGGATTGTCAGAGGCAAACGTAACCGCAGGCGGTCTGGTAGCCGAGTCAACCGAGGCGACTAGGCTCGCATAAATTTACTTTGGCTTATCTAGTCGACTTAACTCAGATAGGCGCCAGTTCAATCGGGAGTTTCGTCCGTTTCCCGTAGTTTCCGTGGTAGTAAGAAAAACGTGCAATAAGAGACGACAGCGATATAGGAGTAGACGGCCGCTACGGCCACGAAAGTCAAGGTGACGCTAGATACGACCAATGAATCGTGTCCACCATCGAGAGCTAAAATATTCTCTGGGATTTAACGAAGAACAGCGTTGTAGTGGCTCACTAACAGCCGCGGAAACTAAGTAAGGGGTTCGAGGGAGGTTTCACGGGGATATTAGGGGACGGTACGGCGGTCGTCGCTGTGGTTTCTCCAGCTTCTGCAGCAGAGTGCTATTGGAGCAGTAGAAGGGATCTTTTACCGCAAGCAGTGGCAACAATGGTGTGCGTTCAGTTACTTATAGGTTCCAACAGCTAAAGTTAGGCCTACTGGTCCTATTTCTGAGAGACGAACCGAGGCAGGGAGCGGATGAACGGGCAGCAGACAGCGGCGGGCGCTGTCGTTGTCACTGGAGGCGAAGTAAAAGCGAGTATCTCGAGAAGAGAATCTTCCACCAAAGCTGTCTTTTACGCGGCAGCTCGTCACGTGGAAAATTGAGATGTGCTAGTTTTTCTAGCGTTGTTCCATCCACTCCCTCGAAACATAGAGACGCTGTCTTAGTCCAACTTATATTATCTCAATCTTGGCCGATCTTTCTAGGCTAGTAACTCACTCAAACAGACTCCTCATCAAACTATAAGCCGCCATCTGCCATGTGCCGTTTGCAATAACTCACTCAGCTATCCACCCTTGTTGGTAGCGAATTGTCGATATCCATTGCACACATGCGTATTAAATGTTAATATACGATTCGATGCTTCAAGGGTGAGATATCGATTTTCAGTGCAGATCGCCTTCTATTATATCTTGGCACCTTGCCACAGACGGCACTACTAAGGCCCACGAATTACTATAAGAGTTAACACATAGCTTCTGCAATTAGGCCTAAACCAAAAGCATTTCTAACATAGCCTTCCTTTGTTCCATATTTCTTATGATTACATATTACGAGTTTATCGATCCTAATTTCACGTTTTGTTGTTGTTACACTATCGATAAATAAGTTTTGCCATTGAGCTAACTAGGGACAAGATGGACGTCAAGTAAAATTGGGAAAAAGGATAAATACACGACTCAATTCTGAAAAAGTATATTTATCGTAAGTACCAACGATCCATGGGGGGAATGGGGGTCACCACTGTACTAGAAAAAGAATCGGATGTTATCCATGGAAATCCGCGTCAATGACCGTATTCTTGCATCATGATCCATCTATGACACCAGTGTTACACTATAAGATTTTCTAACCGCCTGCAGTCTATGTGACTATGATACGCGTGTTAGATGCTTAGCTCTGTCATATATGTGACGCTTGTAGTTAAACACAGCGTAGCTTGGATGACATGGGTATAATGATAATCCAGGCAGTTACAATTTACCTATAACGGGTACAATATGTCAGTAGGAGACGTACACGCATACACTTGCTATCTTCTTATTATAATTACATACCCTATCGTAATATGTATACTACGCATACACAATTATGTATGTTTATGGGCCTATCCGCCTACCTTCCTCTTACCAATTTCTCATACACCAGTTGAGAACCTGCCGGCAGTTGTTTTAGCCGTATTGCTCTAACCACGGCCACAACTAGTACCAACACATTGACACGTAGCACAGCGACCGTCACAAAACCTGCCTGGCTAACAACC